GAGTTCGACAGTGGAATTGAATTAAAGATATCAAGTCATGGCATTCCATTTAATTTTGGATTACTTCAAGATGTTAGTAATACCTCAGTAGGAATTTGTGATTCTTCTGCATTGAAAAAAAAGCTGTGGCCATTTGGGGTCAGAGCATTCATTTGGGATGCTTTCCTAAAGGCATGGAAGCATTGCATTCATTTGCATCTGCTTGGTACCATCACAGTAAAGAAAAAGGAAAATATCAAATTGTATTTAGGTATTTTAAAACTCAAATGTCTTTATGAAAAAATTTAATAATAATAATAATAATGGCCAAAGTAAATTAATATTAATATTTTTAAAGGAGAGATAAATACATAGAAACAAACGAACACGGTTTAGTTATAATAGGAGTCTCAGAATTGGATGCTGGACGTTACGATTTTTGGTTAAATGGCGCTCTATTATGCTCCTATAACATCACAGAAAAAATCTTTAAATGATTATCAAAAAATATATTCCGATTGGTGTCACGAATTCGAAAAATACAACAAATTGTCCATGAAATCCTGGGAAAGAAAACATGAGGTATTTATTATACAGTAATAAGGCGGAAAAATAACTTTTACACATTCAATTTTTTTTTTATTATTTTTAAAAGTACGAAAGTCAATTTAAATTGAAATTATTATTATTATTATTTTGTTTTTAAGCAATGTGTCTCTCTCGAATGAACGACAGTCATCAGAATTCACTGTCGAACGAAATTCAGACTTTGAAAACTCCATTTATTGGATAGCTAAAATTAGAACTTTGGATTTTGAAGAACCGATGCTTTTTGTCCAGTGTGGTCTTTTTAAATTTAACACTCTATGAAAATAGTAAACGTTCAGTAAAACGGTAAAAGTTGGATCTCAAAGCATTATTCAAAAACTTGTGATATATATATTAAATTAGAGGAAATTTCCATTCAAAATCAAAGTGAATAATTTGACAATCTACCTTAAAAAATAGGACAATTTACTAAATAATCAAGTATCTCGTTTTTTATGTGATCTCTCATAACGAATGTTAGACTCAAGTATTAAGAAGAAATATAATTCTGACGCCTTTTAATTAAACTATGTTTTTACTGCACAAACAAGTAGAATTTTTAATTATGTGAGTATGAATTCTGATGTTAATCAAATTTAATAAATAAAATTTTTTTTATGAGACTGAAAGGGGAAAAAAAAAAAACGAGTTTTTTTATATTGTTGTATGAATCTTGTAAACAACATCCCAATTAATTTATAAGTATTTTTTAAAATATAAATTTATTAATGATTTATTTTAATTTTAATTAAAAAAAAAAAAAAAATTCAAAAAATTCTAGACGCTCCACAACAAAACGCGGTTTCCAGCACGGTTTTTTTAAAAATATTTTTTACTTTGGTAATTTTATATTTTATTTCTGTCCATTTTGATGTTGTTAATATAAATCCGACTTTTTTCCGATTTACTGCTATCCCGACACGCACTCACCTCAGTTCATTCATTCTACTGATACA